GATTATTTTTTATTTTATTATTTTATTCTGGATAGAATTTTTAAGGAAATGTTGTAGTTTTCAATGTATATTTTGTTTCAATATTATTTTTATAAAACTATCTTCTGTTATCAGTATGTTTGTCTTCCATATTTTAGTCTATATTGTTCTATAATGAAAATAGACCAACCTTTTCAGAGAAATTATTTTAAACTTTAATAAACATATTAATGTCTTTAAGAAGTTTTTTTTAATCATCAAAAAAATTAAATATTTTTAAGACTAATAAAATTAAATTATTTAGGTTGTTACAGTATAGCTAATTTATCTCTAATTGTTAAGGTAGCACTTTACAAACTATACCATTTCTAAACTAGAGAAGATAAATCAGATAGAAAAATGATTATTATTATTATTATTATTATTATTTGTCATTTTTAATAAAAATATGAAGGTTCTCACTACGTAGTGATTATTGGGACTGAAAAATGAATTATCTTATACCAAATGATTGCTGGATTACATTGGGCTATATTAATGCTGCTAATGTAATCTGGCAATTGCTTAGAATTAATCTTAGAATCAAGTTTAATTTAATTATTTGGCTAAGAAGAAATATACAGATGCTAAGAAAAATAGATATAAAAGGATAATAGTCATTATTTTGTTGTGTTAAATTTTTTACTACTTAGACTTAACTATGAAATGTAAAAATTTATACAAAAAGTGTTTGAAAATAGGTCAAATTTGTTTAATTTTACAGGATCATTTTTTTCATTTAGAAATATATTTTAATTGAGTACAATGAACAACCAAACCTTATTTATACATTTTTGAAGAGAACTGAGAAAAAATATTGTACAACTTAGAAAAATGTATGAATGAAACTACTTTTGAATTGCTTTCAGTCAGGGCATGAATATGGTTGTCAGAAAAGGGTGGTGTGGTATTATTATCACTGTACAACTGAATTTGTAGCCTATGTGTAATTCGTAATGAAGAATTTCAGTTTACTGTATGTATAATACATTTGAACAAAACATAAAAAGGAAAAGTAAAACAGTATGAAATTAAACAATGTGCTGTACTTTAAGAAATTGATCAAATTTAATTTTTTTTGTTTTTACCATGGACATGTGTCATACTGGTACAATGTGATGTTAGTTGTCTCCTGCCAAAATTCCAGTCATGTGAAAGAATGAAGAAGAGTCATTCTAAAGGGTTAGCTCACACTGACAGCAAATAGTGAAAATGAATGAAAAACTTGAAAGTGATTTTTATGTGCTTAGCAAAATTTGTCCACACTGTAAAATGTGGAAAGCAAAACTTTTCAGTGCATTGGACTAGTAGAACAATTTGATAAATAGAAAAATTTGTTGGAAACAGCATTGCATGTTATGTATTATTCCAGGACCATAAAAACCACTTTCGCAGACTCCACAGTGTTGGTATCCAGCAATATTTGGAGTACATACTGGAAGACATTTTTAAAGATTGTCACAACATTTGCTCTAGGATCTACAACAAGTGAAAGGTGATTCCGGCATTTATCCATTATGGCACCCATATTATTTGCTCTGCTTTCTGCATTTGCTGGCAATTTGCTATTAGCGTAGACTAACCTGAAGCAAAAACATACTGCAATTTTTTTTCACATTTTTAATAATTGCTTTAAATGTTTCTATTTCATTCCATTTCAAAGCATAAAAGAGAAAAAATGCTGTAGAGTACCAAAAGTATAACATATGTGCAAATTGTATAAAAGAAAAAATATAACTGAAATGTTTTATAATGATGAAAGTATCCTGCAGAAAATATTTAATGTATAATTGTGAAAAACATACAACTGAGAAATTTATAGACAGGGTTTGACTATTCAGAAGTATTCTGTAATTTATATTGATGATAAAATATATTTTGTATATATTATAGATAACAATAATAATTATAAATAGGTGCTATATTTTTATAGTATATAGTTTCATCNTATTACATCTCATTCACTTGCACATATATTTTTTGGGATTTCTGACATAGTATTGACAACTGTTTGATCGTTGATAGTTAAGTTAGAACATATTTTAAATCACATCACATCAACAGATGCACAGAGGAACTAGGCATTCGAAATTTCCATCTTTTGATTTGGTTCAAAAATCTTGTATTCATATTTGTTTTTTGAAGATCCAGCTGATTTACCTGAGGAAGAACCCAGAAGAGGTTAAGAAAACATTTGGATTTTTAACAGACAGTAATCATATTATGCACTGGTTAAAGGTTCAAATGAATCCATTTTTTGTTATATATACTAATAATTTTATTTAATTTGATTTTGTTACTCTATGTATGTACTTTTCATTTTCATTTTTTAGTTATTACATGCAAGTATAATCTTTATTTTATATAAATATAATTACTCTGTTTATTTATTACAACTTTGTGATTTTTTTTCAAAAATTAAACTATGTGCCCTCAATTGTTTTTATAATTTTTATTGCGCTTTTAGTAACAAAAAGGTCGTCAATCCCTAATCTATATAACCCCTAATCTACCCCAAAACTATAACAGACAATCTTATGACAATGCAGCCAATATGTTTGGGATATACAACGGTTTATATGCAAAAATTAAGAGCCATAGTAAAACTGCATTTTTTATGTTTCTTGTGTGGCTCAGCCAAAATTTAATAGGAAATTCAGGTGCAGAAACTTGTCTAAAAACTCTCCATTTTTTCGATATTTATTAAAAATTTATTTGTATTTTTCTCTTCTTCCAGAAAGAGATGGGATATTTTTATGAAAGCAACTATAAAAGGAAATGTAACATTAAAAAAAAATGTGTGCTGAAGATGGTTTTCAACAACATACACAATTTTAGATGTTAAGATAGATTTTTTGGCCACAAAAAAGCTTTATTTAAAATTTTTGATTGTAATGAAAAACCTGTAACAAAATTAGATGCAAAGAAGCTGAATGATTCCTTTGAAGATTGCGAAACATTTTTTCTTTAACCCTACAATGATTAAATGCAACTATTAAAAATCTTCCAATTAAAAATTCTGATTTACAAAATGCTGTAAACTTATTATCATTATATATGAGGGCAGTTTTTTCAACCTCCAATGGTCTATAAAACAAAGACAAGTGTAAATAACAAAATGAATTTATTACCAAAAGTTAGGTACAGGAGTTACTTGGTGCTAAATTGGAGCTATATGCTGAGTGTTTAAAAAGTTCCAAGCTAGGTGGAAGTCTTCACACATTAAAGGTATGAAGACTTTCNAACAGCAATTTTATTCTGATAGATAATAAACTCAAATACACATTTGATAGTTGTGTGTTTATATAAAATTTTGATAATATGCAAACAAATTTATATGTAATTTTATGTGATAAATAAATGTCTTTTAGAAAAAAAACATTAAAAATACATAAATTTACAAGAAAAAAAATTATTAAAATGTGTTGAATGAAGAAACAAACTAAGTGAACATCATAGTAGAGTATTTTAAGCTTCTTTACCAAAAAGTATAATGAATTGATTCTGACTGGCAAAGATGTGTGATTTCTACTCAGACTGTTCCATTGCTTGGGCTTTGAGAGTGGTTTTGTATGAGGTGGTAAACATGTTTGAAGAATTTAGAACATGAAGAGGTAATGTTTACTAAGAGTTAAAAATTACCCCAGAGTAAATGTCATTTAGATTTTTACATACTTTTCAATGGCACCAGTTTTGACCCCACATGTCACTGAACTCTGCCAAGAAGTCTTATAGGACTCCGTAATCTGGGATCTTCAAATGCTCATCAATTTTTGGACATGTATATAGTTCCCTTGTGCCTTGTTTTGTCATAATTAGTCTGATCTTCCTTCTACCTCAGGTTATTTCCAAGCTATGAGACTGGTTCATTTTATTTGTAACACTCTGTGTACATACATACATACATACATACATACATACATACATACATACATAGTTTACAATTATACTAGGACATCGTGTGACTTTGTCATATCATGACAGAATTGAAGCAGAGCCAGAAAGAAAGAAGTGATCCCTGCACTTGTTAGGCACAGAATAGCCTATACTTGTACCTGCCAACCATGGGAGAAGTGATCTTTGTAACTGCCAGCCACAGGAGAGATGATCCTTGCACTGGCCAGGTACGGAGAGAGAATCCCTGCACTTGTCAACATGGAGAGGCAATCCAAGAACAAAGCAACTACCTCTGATTGCTTTGTTCTTGCATTTTGTTCATTTTTTGCACCTATTTTCTGTTAGACACACACAATGCTGTTTTTATTTTTGACCCCTAGGCCTAAATTCCATTAGGCAAGTTCAATTGCATTAGAGAGCAAGGGCATTGTCTCTTTAATACCTCTATATATCAAAAACAAAGTCATAGACTGTTAGTTTTTACATTTAAATGGACACTCATTACATTTTTGGATTTTTCACTGGAATTAATGGAAATGGCAAAGTTTAATCAAAACTGATCGAACAGATTTTGAGAGCAAACACAATTCTGTAAGCCACATAGAAGAGGCTTTGCTAATGCTCTGCCTCAATTAAACTGAAATCATGGTTTCTGAGTATTGTGCAAATTGAAAGTTTGGTGTAATAAAATTTGTTAACAGAACTACATTGAAAAATATATAAATATTAATTTAGTAAAAATAACTTGTACTTTATTTCAAAATTAATTATTTCATAATTAAGGATTGTTTTATTGCAGTTATTTGGATTTGAGAAATTTTGATATTTTTATTTACAATACTTGGTTATTTTCAACAATGGTGTAATGATCTTTATTAACATCAAATTTTTTCAAAATATGTTAATTTACAAAATCAATTTCAAAGATAATTTTATATTTATAAAAACATACAAAATGAGATAATGAAACACACTTTATATTCATGTTAAATAAGGATTAGATGTTTGATAATCTCTTTTAACAGGATATAATTTTATTTTTTAAAATAATAGATTACAAATTTTATTGTTTTATTTTATTACAGGTCTGCTAACTTTTATTAATTGCTACAATGTAAAATGGGCAACTAGAGTTCAAGATAGTTTTACTCTAGCTAAAGTGATTGCTTTAATTATCATTATCTTAACTGGATTAGTTCATCTTGTCTTAGGTATGACATTTTATATTTTGTCATTTAGTGTTTTTATATTTAAATTATCAACAATGTTATGGATCATATTTAAATAAAGTATGAAAATAATTTTCAAGAATTAGTAATTTTTGATTAAGAAATTTTCATAAAATAAAAAACAAACAAGGTAAAATAAACCAATATCTAGCACAAAAATGTGAGACAGCTGTGACCGCTATGTCTGTATGGAAGTCTTGCACAAGCAGTTGTATATGAGAATGAATGGGTTTGGGATGGAGGAGGGAGTCAAGAGACAGTGTGCTGGAAATAAAGCACTCCACTGTGCATTTAAACATTAATTACCAACAATTCATTTGTTTAAGTTTATATGCTATTTACAAGGTCATAGAATTGGTGGAATAGTCTATCACACACAATTTAGGCAGGTGAACTCTGTGTCATCATCTGCCCTCTTGCCTTTTTTTTTGGGGTCCTTCCCCTGCCTATCTGGTGCCCATTTTTGGTAAAGTTGATAGTTGTTTCAAGTTGCGATTTTTTTTTTCCATTTCCCTCCATGAGTAGTTTTTTGGAAGCTGTGCCACTCACAGAGAACGAGCTATTCATGGGAAAATTTTATGTACAGTAGTTCCTTCACTGCATTTGTGAAATAGAATACTTCTCTGATTTTTTTTTGACAAAAAGATAAGATTGAAATTTTCAAATTTACATTAGCTTGGGTTCTCACACAACTAATGTTTTTGCCCATGTTAAACAAGAGATGTCTGTTTAACATGGCTGCCTTACATTTCTGTGTTGGATATTGGTTTGTTTTGCCTTGTTTATTAAGTATAACCAGTTTTGACTGATTGTTTATAAAATACAAAATTATACCAAGTACTGGGCCATAAAAATTGAAGGCTCTTACTGCACTAAGACCTGAGTCTAGAGGGCGTACAAATGTATGTATTGTAATCTTTAATGTATGTATTTTAAAGAACTGTAAAAATGTTCGTAATTGNAGACTGTTAGTTTTTACATTTAAATGGACACTCATTACATTTTTGGATTTTTCACTGGAATTAATGGAAATGGCAAAGTTTAATCAAAACTGATCGAACAGATTTTGAGAGCAAACACAATTCTGTAAGCCACATAGAAGAGGCTTTGCTAACGCTCTGCCTCAATTAAACTGAAATCATGGTTTTTGAGTATTGTGCAAATTGAAAGTTTGGTGTAATAAAATTTGTTAACAGAACTACATTGAAAAATATATAGATATTAATTTAGTAAAAATAACTTGTACTTTATTTCAAAATTAATTATTTCATAATTAAGAATTGTTTTATTGCAGTTATTTGGATTTGAGAAATTTTGATATTTTTATTAACATTTTTATAAACATCAAATTTTTTCAAAATATGTTAATTTACAAAATCAATTTCAAAGATAATTTTATATTTATAAAAACATACAAAATGAGATAATGAAACACACTTTATCTTCATGTTAAATAAGGATTATATGTCTGATAATCTCTTTTAACAGGATATAATTTTATTTTTTAAAATAATAGATTACAAATTTTATTGTTTTATTTTATTACAGGTCTGCTAACTTTTATTAATTGCTACAATGTAAAATGGGCAACTAGAGTTCAAGATAGTTTTACTCTAGCTAAAGTGATTGCTTTAATTATCATTATCTTAACTGGATTAGTTCATCTTGTCTTAGGTATGACATTTTATATTTTGTCATTTAGTGTTTTTATATTTAAATTATCAACAATGTTATGGATCATATTTAAATAAAGTATGAAAATAATTTTCAAGAATTAGTAATTTTTGATTAAGAAATTTTCATAAAATAAAAAACAAACAAGGTAAAATAAACCAATATCTAGCACAAAAATGTGAGACAGCTGTGACCGCTATGTCTGTATGGAAGTCTTGCACAAGCAGTTGTATATGAGAATGAATGGGTTTGGGATGGAGGAGGGAGTCAAGAGACAGTGTGCTGGAAATAAAGCACTCCACTGTGCATTTAAACATTAATTACCAACAATTCATTTGTTTAAGTTTATATGCTATTTACAAGGTCATAGAATTGGTGGAATAGTCTATCACACACAATTTAGGCAGGTGAACTCTGTGTCATCATCTGCCCTCTTGCCTTTTTTTTTGGGGTCCTTCCCCTGCCTATCTGGTGCCCATTTTTGGTAAAGTTGATAGTTGTTTCAAGTTGCGATTTTTTTTTTTCCATTTCCCTCCATGAGTAGTTTTTTGGAAGCTGTGCCACTCACAGAGAACGAGCTATTCATGGGAAAATTTTATGTACAGTAGTTCCTTCACTGCATTTGTGAAATAGAATACTTCTCTGATTTTTTTTTGACAAAATAATAAGATTGAAATTTTCAAATTTACATTAGCTTGGGTTCTCACACAACTAATGTTTTTGCCCATGTTAAACAAGAGATGTCTGTTTAACATGGCTGCCTTACATTTATGTGTTGGATATTGGTTTGTTTTGCCTTGTTTATTAAGTATAACCAGTTTTGACTGATTGTTTATAAAATACAAAATTATACCAAGTACTGGGCCATAAAAATTGAAGGCTCTTACTGCACTAAGACCTGAGTCTAGAGGGCGTACAAATGTATGTATTGTAATCTTTAATGTATGTATTTTAAAGAACTGTAAAAATGTTCGTAATTGATGAAATAGTTCCAGAAATGATAAAGCGCATGCCTCATAACAGATCATTACTTGTAGGTTACTGCTGAATTCAGAGTAACTTTTTTATAATTGTAATTTGATGTAAATTAATGGACAGTTTTGATGGAAGTTGACTACAGGGAGGATAGAACTCTGACTCCAGTAGTATCCTACAAGTAATGGTCTGTTGTGAGGCATGTGCTCCATCATTTGTAACTATTTCATCATATATTTTAAACTAACTATAGAGATAGATCACAAAAAAATCACATCTTTAAACTCCAGCAATGAGTTTAATATAATAAGGACATTTTCGATCAATTTCACTGACCTTCTTCAGTTGCAATAGAATGAAAAAATAGAAGAATACAAAAACTTGAGAACGAGAACAAAAATTTTAAAAATAAATAAATAAATAACAACAATCATAGTTGAAATTAATAAAATAAATAATTCCTTAATAAAATAATAATAATAATGAATAAATATTCCTTAATAAAATTAAATTTCATAAACAGACTGCCATGCGGTAGACAAGTTGTTCGCATCTCTATGGTTGATGCACATGGATTTTTTTATGTGCATCAACCATTTTAGTTTAAAGAAAGTTTTTTGTGAACTAACTCCATTTCATCAGTTATGAATATTTTTATAGTTTTTTAAAATATTTATTTTAAAATTAAATATAATGAAACCTTTTTACAAGAATTTTTACAATTTTTTGTAATTTTAAAAATACAACAGTTGTATGATGTAACCATTAATAAAAAATAAATTTATTTATGTATTATATACCTTTTAATTTGTTCAAAACTGAAGAAAACATAAATATTATAGACTAACCTTATCCTCAGTCAATATCTTTAAGCCCCAGAATGTTTTTAGTCTTTCTAAGACCATCATCAATGCACAACTTCTCTTTCCGGCACAATCTGAATACAAAGACATTATGACAAATTTGCACACCAGTCAATCCAAACAATGAAAGAATTTTTCAAACTTTAAAGCTAAAATTTATAAAGACAGGTGCTTTACTGCAGATTTTACATAATTTGAAAAAATTCAAACCAAAAATGTTCAATAATTCTCACCAAGACAATTTTTTTTCCCAGCAAATATATTTAATAGTAAGACAAATGTTTTTTGGGTAGATTTGCAGCCAAAAATTAGGTTCCAATTCATCACTACATACAATTGTGTTCTGTTTTGGAACATTACTTACATGATGTATGAACAATATTTTAAATTTTAGAATGTAATTCAAAATGACAAAATTGATTAATTTACAATTATTAACGTATTTTATCTTATTGAAGTGAATGCACCTTAATTTCTTCCCACATGTTGCTGCATGTGGTTGGTTGTCAAAAGGGTCATGCATAGAACTACCACATTCTTGTTTTGTTAAATTTTGAACTTTTGTAGAGAGAGGTCTTCTCTCCCTTCCTTTTTAGCATTATATTTCAGTTTGTTAACATTAAATGTCACATATTTTTGTTCCAATATGACTCAACAGGGTATGGGCCCAGTTTATGTCTAACTGTCAGAAAGTTTAAGATTTTTTTTGGTGGTTTTGTGAAAATTGTCATTGAACTCTGTTGACTCAGATAAGCTGCATAAAAAGGCCAATTTCTTTTGTGAGGCATATGTTCTTGGAAAACTGAGTTCTTTTGAAAGAGTTGAGACATGTACAAAGGTACCAGGAGAGTTAATTCACTTTGACATATGTGAATCAATGGAGGAGAAAGATGTTTGGTCATATTTGTCGACAATAACAGCAGTTAGTTAATTGTCAAGCCTTTAAGTATAAAAAGTGACATCATCAACATACTCCATGACATCCTACAGAAGTAGCTACCAATGGCCATAAAATCTTTTGTCTAAGGTCAGATAATGCATTTGAATTTGTCAGCAAAGAAACATGTATGATGCTTCAATGTGCTGGAATTGCTAGAGAAAATTCTATGGCCTACTGTCTCAAACAGAATGGATGGGTTGAGAGGTAGAATCGCACAGTTATTGAAGCAGCACATACAATGTTAATCATCAGAAGCCTACCCCAATTGCTCTAGGCTGAGTCTTGCACCACGGCAGCCTTACTTTGAAACTGAACAAGCATTGAATGACAGAAGGGTAAAACTCCACATGAACTGTGGTATGGCATTTGGCCAGATTTGTCAATGTTAAAGGTGTTTGGAAGTGATTCATATATGCTTATCAATAAACAGTTTCTCAAGAAACTTGATCCGAAAAGTAAATTGATGATATTAGTCAGCTGTGAACTGAAGCAAAGAGCATATTTATGGAGTGAAACACAAAGAAAGTTCATGTAGCATTGCATGTGAAAATACACGAAAAAGCTTGACTACATCATCAACAACTGACAGAAGTGAAGTCAGCACAAAGATAGTTGACAGACCAGCTCATAATAGATGAAGCAAGTCAACCATATTTGAAAAATTAATTGTGAGTGATCTGCTAATGACCTTGGCCTGTCCAGAAACATTCAAAGAATTAAAAAAAATCATCACACTGGAAGCAGTGGGAGATGACAATGAAAGACAAGCTTAGTACACTAGAGAAAAACGTAATAAGAGAACTCATCAACACTAGTATGATCAGTTTAAAACCAATTAAAAATAGGTGGGTTCTGTGTATGAAAACAAAAGCTGATGGTAGTATTGAATGCTACAGAGCAAGACTCGTCAAAGGTGGCTTGATAAAGTTGATTCACATTGATACTTGGCAGCAATTAGCGGATTTCTTGATAAAACTGCTATCGAAAGAAACTCATTAATAATCATAATAAAATTTTGAATTTGTAAATCTAATTTTGTAATTATTGATTTTTTGTACTATTTATGCCTTTGTTTGTTGTAATCAGAGTCACCCCTTGGCAAGTGGAAGTGTTGAGGTGAATGCACCTTTGTCTCCTTCCACAACATATCACTGTATATGGTTGGCACCCATTTTACAATGGTTTCAAAAGGATCTTGCACAGGGAACTACCACATGTTTGTTCTGTTGAAGAATTTTGAACTTTTGTAGAGAGAGGTCTTCTCTCTCCTCCTTTTTAGCATTAAATTTCAGTTTGTTGACATTAAACATTGCACATTTGTTCCAATACAACTCAACACATTTATATTAACAATTAAAAATATCTTACATAAATTGTAGGGATCATTAAAATTAATCCTTGCTCCATTCTTAGGTGCCCTATAGATTTCAATAGCCTCCAAATATTTAAGGTGTGCTTTTTTTGGAAACCTTGTTAACAATCATGTGTCCTGTAGATCAAAATAATCCTTACACAGGATTTCCGATAAGGCATTGGATGCCTTAAATATTTGGAGCTTATGCTTCAAATGAAGATGTGTGTTGATGTACAGGACACATGATTGTTACATAAGGTTTCCAAGAAGGCACATCTTAATATGGGGACAAATAGTAAAGTTATGTTTGGTCATTATATTGATCCTTCCTTCAGAGGTTATTGTAATAGGATCTTCATGCAGTTGACATTAAATTACAATTTCTATGGTTGATGCATTTCTACTTTATTGATGCTTTAAAGATCTCAAGGACCTCCAATAATTTTGTATCTTTTCTGCAAAAGTTCCATTTAATCAATTTTGCTTTGTCTAGTTTAACTGTGACTTTCCAGTTCAGAGATTTATGTGGCCAGTGAAGTGACTTGTTTTTATGAACATCATTTAAGAACATTTGAAACACTGAAAATCTACAAAGTGACAAAAAAAGTGAATGCATTAAATATAAAGGCCCTGATTCCCTTTCCAGTGCATGGAGAACTTTCTTTGATAACTCAAGAAACAAGGAACAGCTTTATGCATAGAGAAAATGTAAATTATCAAGTCATGATCTGTGCCTAATTATATTTAATAATAATTTTCTGATATCTTTTAAGTTACACTTTTGTATTTTAAAGTTATACATGTCTGAAAACAAACAAACACTTTTGGTTTATTTCATAAACTGAAAAAGAGTTTGTTTATATCAGCGTTTCTCAAAGTGGGCAATAACACCCCCTTGTGGGCGCTGGAGGCTTTCAGGGGGGCAATAGAAGGCTCAAAGAGAATTGGGGGGCATTAAGGAAATATAGAGGGGCGACGGCAGACAAATTCTATATATAAAAATTCGACGGAATATATATAAAATGTTGACATTTTATATATTTTTTATTTTTTATTGAAGGTCACAACTTGAATATTTCTAACACATTGACTTTTATTTTAGCTCAGCGTTTCTCAAAGTAAGCAATAACGCCCCCTTCTGGCGCGATGAATAGATCTATGATAGAGGCAGGGTATTGAACGGTGACCAAAGGCAAAATTGGGGCTGATAAGAGGAAACATTGCGTTTAATGGTTTCCAGATGATGAGAACAATGTACAGTAAGGGCACAAAGTGTGAGATTCATAGAAAATTTTTACTAAGAATATTTCCAATCCTTTTCTCACACAAGAGAAAATGGGTTAGGGGGCATTGGGTATAACTTTATGGAACAAAGGGGGCGGTGGATCGAAAGAGTTTGAGAATCACTGGTTTATATCATAAATAAAATCTCTCACTGGAAAAGTTTGAAAGGTATTGATTTGGATGTTATTTGTTCCAGCTTTGCCGTTTTTGATAACTGACAATTATTAATTAGAACATTTGACCAAAATACATCCTGGCAGAAAAGATAAAAATGTATCTTACATTCAAATGCTCAAAGAACAACATTTGAGACATCCAACTTTAGCTAGTATGTTTTCAGTGGCATCGAAACAAGATGATGATGGGTTACATGCTTCTTACAACACTTCTTTGCTTATTGCTAAATTGGGAAAACTGCACACTATTAGAAAAGAATTGATACTGCCAGCTGTCAGCAGTGGTGTACAGTAGTGGGGGCAGCAGGGGCGGCCCACCCCGAGCGGCATTTTTTAGGGGGTGGCAAAATTTCACAATAAATAATATCTTGTAAAAATTTGAAACATCCTAATCTATACTTGCATCGCGCCTACGATAGTGCTATCGTCCGGACAGTCTGGGGTTCGGCTCGCCGTCCGGGTGAACTAGTAATTTTTTCATCCAAGGAAATCCTGCGAAATTTTTTCATCCGAGGAAATCCTGTTGATCGTTTTTTTTTTTCTTTCTTTTTTGCTTGTACGATTCATTCACGTTCGTATACACCACTAATATCTAATAGAACTATTTTAAACAGGTCGCTGCACTACCACCGAATTTTTCATTGCTTGTTCTGTGACAAAACTGAATTTTGGTCTTTTAAATTGAAATACCTAAATAAGGGGTGGTGAAATTTTCCTCCGCCCCAGGCGGCTGACACCCATGGTACGCCACTAGCTGTCAGTGAGGTTCTGTGTACTGTACTGCACAAGCCACCATCTGATATTATTAAGAAAATTCCATTAAGCAATAATACAGTATAGAGACAAATTGATGAAATGTCTGAGGATGTGGCAAGTTCTCTAAGTGATGTTTTGAAGACTACCAAGTTTTCTTTACAGCTTGATGAATCTACTTTACCAAACAACTTTACTTGTTGCATATGTTTGCTTCATAAACTATGAAAAAAATTTGCCAAGAACTATTATTTGCAATAAAATTAAGAACTGATACTAAAGGAAAATCTATATTTGATGTATTGGAATACTATTTTAAAGAAAAGAGTATTTCTCTGGATAATATTGTGTCCTTTGTTACCGATGGTGCTCCGGCAATGGTTGGATGATACCACGGATTGACTTCATATTTGAAAAAGGCTGTACCAAATGTAGTTGCCATGCATTGTGTAATTTACAGACAACATTTGGTTGCAAAAAATATTAGTGATTGCCTTCATGGCTCACTACAGTATGTAATTACAGCAGTTAACAAGATCAGAAGCAATGCTCTCAATGATAGATTGTTTCAAAAACTTTGTGATGAAAACAACAAAGATTTCATTTGTTTACTATTGCACACACAAGTTCATTGGCTATCAAAGGGTACCACCTGTCTATAAAGATTTTATGACCTCTTTGAGTTCTAATGTTTTTTTGAATACAAAGATGATTTGTTAAGAGAGAATTTAATGAAATTTAAATTTAAGAATGATATAGCTTATTTAACTAATTTATATAATAAATTTAATGAAACAAATCTTTAGCTGCAAGGAGATGATTTGAGTTTGATCAAAGCAAAGGCAACTATTTCTGCATTTGTGTTAAAACTTGCCTTGTACTAACAAAATTTGGGTCAAAGACAATTCTATCAGTTTCTGAATCTTTCCTCTGTAAAAACAAATGATGACAACATTCTGGTATTTTGCCAGTATTTGGAAGCACTTAAAGATTTTACAAATAATTTTAAAATGTCCTTAACATGACCATTTTAGATTGGGTACTAGAACCTTTCTCAAACCTACAAACAGCAGAATTATCACTGCAGGAGGAGTTGATAGAATTGTCAACAAATGAAGAGTTAAAATTGAAATTAAAAAATGGATATTAAGAGTTTTGGCTTTAAAGGCAAATTCCAGTATTATATCTGGCTTTATGGGCTGCATCAAAGAAGTTTTTCATTGCATTCCCATCATCATATTTAGCTGAAAGAGGATTTAGTATAGTCATTAATTTACTAACAAAGAAAAGAAACAGATTGTCAGTAGTGGAACGTGGCGATTTAAGATTGCTGATGACAAATATGGCACTGAATATCAAAAAATTAGTGTCATTACACCAAGCTTGGCCCTTTCACTAATAATATTATATTAATTTTTTTAATAATATATATTTGTTAATCAAATTTTGAGCAATACATGAATATTGTTAATATCTTTTAATAAAGTAATTTTGAAAATCTGTCCTTGTTTTTCAATATATAATATAGTATACTTCACCTAAGAGGAGCACCATGAAATAACTATTTGAAAAAGTTGACTATGACCTAAAAATGTTGGAAAACTATGGGTTACATTATTGATTTCAAGAATGGGAGTTGGTGTGTATTTTTTCTGAAAAGGGGCAGTAATTTTTTTTTGAAAAGGGGATGGTAGGCCAAAACAAGTTGGGAAGCTGTGTTATAGAGTATACATAGGAATGTTAAGAGATAATCAAAATGTTAAAATATAAGTTTTATTTTATTTGAGTAAATAGTTTTGTTTTAAAATTTCTGATTATGCAAAATACATTAAATGTTTGTAAACAATTTCTATATTTTAGGAAATACAGAAAATTTTAATGAACCATTCAAAGGCACTACTACTCATCCAGGATATATTGCATTATCTTTTTATTCAGGATTATTTTCATATGCTGGCTGGTAAGTAAAGTTAAAAATATAAATTTTATTCATAAAAACAACACCCCAATACTGGTTAATATTAATCCAAGATCCACTATGTCACAAAACTGATGAATCAGCATAAAAGAACTACTCACTTTGAGAAGTGAATGGGTTTTCATCCATTTTTAAAAGGACATCCTCAAGCTGGTGTTCTAAAATTCGAATCTCAAGTTTTTGGAACGGATCATAAACTTTACATAGTCATTGCTGATTAGAGGATAGTTGATAGTTGCTGATTGGTGGAATGTTTGTGCGTAGCAATGGAATGTGTTTCTGTTGAATTTATATATATTTTTCATGAGTTTGGATCCTGATGTAAAGGTCCATTATGATTGGGCCAAAATCATATACAGAACAGTGGATAGATCACATATCAGATATCTTGAGTTAATGGAGATCTACAGGGCAGCCCAAAAGTCAAATGTCATCAACTATAAGCAGGATAGCAAAATCCTGAACGTATGGAAAATATATATAAATTCAACAGAAGCACATTCCACACAAATTGCTACATACAAACATTCCATCAATCAGCATTTATCAACTATCCTCCAAGCAGCAATGACTATATAAAGTTTGATCCATTCCAAAAACATGCAATTGAATTTTAGAACATCAGTCTAAGGATGTCTGTTTAAAAATGAATGGAAACGTTCTCTTCTCAAAGTGAGTTTTATGCTGGTTCATTGGTTTTGTGACGTAATGGGTTTCGAATAAATTTTATTATCATTGTAACACGTACTGGAAATGATACACTTAATACAATAGGATACCTTATTTCTCTAGCAATGGCTTTAATTTTTTACGTGCTAATGTTTCTGAGCATCTTATATGCCAATCTTCAGACAAAAGTAATTAACAGTACAGTAGAACAATGTGGAATATACATTTATATATCATATATTTAAATGTAATTAAAGATGAAAATTCTAATTTACAAAATAGAATACTTCAAACATTAAAAAAAATAACTGTTACTTAGAATGGTAACAATTAGAACATATAAAGTACATTTCAAATCAAATTAAACTACTGATGTCAAAACTTTACAAATAAGAACATTTCATAGTATGTATTTCTTTTTTTTTTTTTGAGAAATAAACTATATATAAAGACACTAAACACACCTTATACACTTTTCCAGCAATTAAATTTAATCAAAAGAAATGTTTTCAGCCTGATTGATAAGCCATTTTGTGAGTTGATAAGTGTGGTCTAATATTTTGGTAATGGTTTTGATTTGTGCAGTTGTGAATATGTTTTGTTTATATTGTCTTGATTGGTTGTTTTTTATAATAATTTCGTATTTGTCTCTGAACAGAATGTTGAAGTAGATTTCAATAACACACGTATTATCAAACAATGCACAACATAGAACATATCTGAACCCTCAAGGCACTGGAAATTCATAAATCAGTAATAAGAGGAAATAACATCAACTTTAAAGAAGAACAGAATCTATCTAAAGCGTGGCAATATTTATGTGAAAAATAATTACCCCACTGATTAATGATAAACATTGATTATAAACGTGGATTGTAACTGCGTATTACATTTAATTTAAATAATATTTTTATTTTTTGTAATTTTTAAAAAGTTGTTGCTGATTTTTTATTTTTATTTTATTTTATATATAATACATTATGTATTCGTTTATTGGTTGTTGCAATTTTTTAAACTATGTTCTATTTTGCATTCTAATTCAGTTGTGTATTCAGACCTGGAGATCTGTGTAAGATTGAAAACGTGAGTCTCAAATAAAAAATTTTCAACTGGAGATACAAAGGTTTTGTGGATGTTTTTAATATTTTCTTGTTAGAAGATACTTACAGCTATAAGGAGCAAATTTATTTCCCTTACATGAAACTAAACTTTTGTACATAGGCCTATAGCATTTATATCAGCATTCTAAAATTTGTTTTTGTTTCACCTGAAGAAATAAAATTAGCATAAAATAAAATTGACTAGTATAGCACAAAAATAAACATAAAATATCTTGCAAGTACTTTTCACATGTATTTCTATACATGTGAAAAGTACTTGCAAGATATTTTATGTTTATTTTTGTGCTATACTAGTCAAAACTTTATTAATGCTGAAAGATAGTGATCTTAAACTTTTATCAGTGTAATGTATGTTTAGAGTTTTCTTAAATAGTTTATTTTTCCAAAAAAAACGGTATCTAGTATGTATTTTTATTTGTAAAGTTTTGATATTTTGAAACAAGCTTCTAATTGTTAACATTCTAAGTAATAGGTATTTTTTAAATGTTTGAAGTATTCTACTTTGTAATTTAGAATCTTCATTCATAATCACATTTAAATGTTTATAATGTATATCCTATTGTTGTAAATTTGTTCTACTGTACTGTTAAATGCTCATCTTCAGACAAAAACAGTTAGGATTTTTTTTCAAAATCATTACCATTTACACTTTTCTAGCAAAGGATTTATTTAGTAAATGAACAAACCTTTTGCTAGAAAAGTGTGAATAGTATTGATTCTGAAGTTATTTATTCCAGCTTTATTATTGGACTTTTGGGCTGAAATTTTCAAATTGCAGATCTATAAGTTCCTAATGGTGTCTGTCCTTTCTTAATCTTGAGAATGAAATTAGATAGATGAAAGTCTAGATCAGATATGGAAAGCTTAAGAGCAGATGGCCCCTAAGCTTTCCATATCTTGTCTAGGCTTGAATTTTTTCATATCTGATTATTGAATGATTCACAGTTTGACTATATACAAACTTCTGGTTTGGACTGGAAGTTATTTCAATTCAAAAGTTTTCTTCAGGACAGTTAGATAGATTACTGCATTTATTGTTACATGAAAAATATAACATACAAGGACAAGATGCTACTAAAATCAAAGCATACATTTTAAATTAAATAAATTATTAAAATATGATAAAAATTGCAGCTTGGCATTGTGACAATGTCACAATAAATAATTGCTTGTAGTATTTAAGATGCCCAAAAATGTTAGTATTTAAAAAAAAATTAAAGCTTTAATTTAAAATATATGCTCTCCACCTTAAATTAGTAGTAGCTTGCCTCTGTACATCATACTTTTCCTTTAATGATAGAGTTGTGTCGGTCATCCATCTAACACCTTACAGAGGAGAATTTTTGAATTGCAATAACATGGCTTCTGATTTTCATCGGAAGTTTGTATATCATTAAGTGGGACCTCCTGCCCTAAGGTTTCAATATTTGGTCTCATCTTTCATCTATCTAACTCCATTCTCAAGATTAAGGAAAGATGGATGGATGGAAATACAGATGGATGACAGTGGGAATTTATAGGTCTAAATTTTTTCAAATTGCAGCCCAATGAATGTGAATAAAAGTAAGGTAATGGTGTTTGAACACAAAGGTAAACAAATGGATTGCATAATTGTGCTGGATGATGAACTGAAACAAGTGAATGAGTTTGTATATTTGGGAGGAATGGAAAAATTGTTTTCTTATTGCANTAAGCCCTTTTTACTAATGTTCTGAAAATGACAGTGTTATATGTAACTGGGTCTTGCATATAACCAGAATGTAGAACCAATACTTGTAGTATACATCCATACTTACTTGTCCATTTGTGAAAGTGATGTTAATGTCAAGAAAATGGATGGATTGCATAATTGTGCTGGATGATGAACTGAAACAAGTGAATGAGTTTGTATATTTGGGAGGAATGGAAAAATTACTTTCTTATTGCATTTGGACAGTATCAGATATGTTGTAATAACATGGTGTCTGTTATTAGAATATTACAGTATTATGAAAAACAGTAGTGTATCCAACTAGCATATCTATATATTGGGAAACACGTTTTATAACCAAGATAATGTATGTGCTACCAGCAAATATGCAAGCTATTCTTTTGCAGCACAATCTTACTAGAAAAGAGGACTTGTGTTGCTATGAATAAATTGGTACCAACCAATAGATATGTTCTGGAGATCGAACAGAAGGGTGAAAAATTTTATGGTAACTAAAATTTCTCCATAGTCAATGAATTTGATAATGGCACCACTTTCAGTTGTAACTATTTAGATGAGAAGCTGGAAATTAGGAAAGATTCAAAAAGTGAGTAAGGGAGGCTCAACTGATTCCTCTGACAAAATCATACCATTGCTTAGTCACGGCTCCTAACAATCCACAAATTTTCCCAGTGGATGTGAATTGAGTGCATTGCTTACCTTTTTAGATGCTGGATCCACAGTCAATCTAATTTGTCTTAAACTTGTGGATAAATGCAAACTAAAATCCCATCTCCATTAAATCTCCATTTAATGATTAAAATCAAATCTCCATTAAATGATTTTAGAACCAATCCATGGTTCTAAAATCATTTAATGGAGCATTTACTGTATATAAAGGTGTTTTGGCCTGTATGAAGTTTAAAGATTGTACTCAACACATGCTTGTAGAAGTGATTATTACAAAGGAAATGGACTATAACGTATTGTTAGAAATTCAGACATTAGAAAAATTGAATATCTGCTGGAAATTTTGTAAACAGAAATGCAGTGAGGGTATGGGAGTGACTAAATCATTTCTGGTTATCATAAACAAACCTACTTGGATAACATATGCTAAGGCTATGAAGGAGAATGCTTGTAATGTTATCTGTTATTTGGATAATTTACCATAATTCAATAAACTAACTACTATTGTCAGGGATTATGGGATCTATGTTTAGTTTCAAGCAGTGGGCCAGAGACAGGAACATCACATTGAAAACCATGCCACCTTATCATTCTGCTGGGAATGGAGTGTGTGAGATGAAGATATGGGGTCTGAAAAAATTCCTTAATTGCTGTTCAAACTTCAAAGGTGGATGGAAAAGTTGTTTGGCTGCTGTAGTCCATGACAAAAATTATAGTTACAACTCTTATTTAAACTGCTCTGTTATTCAAATGGCAATGTACAGTTGTTAAGTCTGTGACTGACAGCAAATTTGATATTGAAGATTTAAGTC